AAGTTGAGAAAAATTTCATCAGATCAGGAGTCTAAATTCCCCTTGGCGCATCTTGCCAAATACATGAGAGACATCTTTTTCAAGTCCAAGTTTGACTTTAAGAACAATGTCAAAAGGCTGAGAAACTTTTCCATACACGGTGCCTGTGGTCCCTTACTTCATATTAAGGGCGAGAGATATGGTTTGTTCGGACACGACTATGCTTTCAACCTCCTTACTCGACAACTAGGAGTTGTGAATAAGAGAATGAACCATGTTGTTTGTGGCTTATTCTTTAACGAGTTGAGAAATGAATACAATTATCTATGCGTGCGCTTCCTAAGTACGAATGCTAATTCCAATCAAACTTTTCAGCTTTATGTTTATAATTTAGCTTCCTGCTCTAATATTGAAATTGCAAGTAGCCGTGTCCTATGTGGGTCGTGCTCAAAAGTTACGCCAATCGCCGTGAACCAAGCTCTATATTTGATGGTGTATCTCACTGAGAGGCACGTAAACCAATGCAAACACATGGTGCTTGTTTTTGAGATGGATTCAGGAAATTTTCACACTTTGCCTCACCCGAAATTGAAATGGAGTTGTACAGGAGCTAGCCATTCAGACATGTATTTGTTTGTTCATGATGGTCGTTTGTGTCTCTATCATGCCAATGTGTCACTAGGGTTACTTGACATATGGACTTTGGAGGATCACGCAAACTGGTGTTGGGTCCCACTATGTTCGAAAATTAATCTCCCGCTTTCCGGAGACGCTAGACGGGGCGATCATTGCACAATTCTTAGTGTACGAAAATATGAGTTATTGGTATATTGGGACGATCCACATCTATTTCTCGTCAACTTGAAGGAGCAGAGTGTTGAAGAAATCAAAATGCCATATAAAATTGATTTTCAATATTATAGGGTAATGAGTTCCAAATTTTCATTGGTTGCTTATAAGAGCACGCTGGCCACTCCACATCTTGTTTGGGACATAGGGGAACCTCCTCTCTTTAGTCTCTAAGACGACCATATGTTATTGCAAGCTTGATGTAGTTTGACGGAGTGTAAAAAAGATATGACGTGGAGTGTTTAAAATATATGTGCAATTGTGATGGGAAGAAGGATGTGACAAATGGTGGGATGGGCCTCACAAAGGCCACACCCTTAATTTAGAAGCCCGTCATGGTGAATGGGGCAGCGTGAAGGCAGAGGTCAAGTCCTCCTCATACCACCATTGTACATGGTCTAACTACAAGTGCACCAAACACTACGAGTATGATCTTTGTGACTACTTCACCAAAGGTCCAAATTAAAATTTTGTTCACTCAAAATTATTACTATGTATTATTATTAGTATTATTATTATTATCATTATTATTATTATTATTATTATTATTCTTATTATTATTATATTGTTGTTATTGTTGTTTTTGTTGTTGTTATTAATGATGATGTTGTTGTCATTATTATTGTCATGTTATTATCATTATTATTATTAAAGTAAATTCTATAATTGGTTCTTTATAACAGGAAGTTTTTATATTTAGTCATCTATTATTAAATATTACCCCCGTAGTCCTTTTTTTAAAGGTGACTTTCCACAAATGGTTCTTTTTTAATCTTCTGCCATGTTGGTGTTAATTTAAAGGCTAAAAGTATAATTTAACATCAATATTATGTCTAGTGACGTGTTATGATATATGTTAAACGGAAAACGCAAAAATAATGACTATGATTGTGGGCTAGGATTCCAACGAAAGACCACATTTGTAGACTATGCTTGTAATAAAAAGCGACTGTAATTCACAAACGATGCAAATGGAACAACCTTTGGAATTGTGTATGACAAAAAAGATATATTAGCATTGTGAAATTACACTTTTAGCCTTCAAATTAACACCAACATGATAGAAGATCAAAAAAGGACTATTTGTGGAAAGATACTCATAAAAGAAGGTCCACTAGGGTAATATTTGATAAAAGAGGACTAAATAGAGAAATTCTCCTATTATAAAGAACCAATTATAGAATTTACTCTGATTATTATTATATTATTATTATTATTATTATTATTATTATTATTATTATTCTCTAATTACTGGATAATTTAATTTGCGGTGGAATATCCAAAATATCATATAAAGCATAAGAGGAATTTACCTATATAATACGAAAGTTAAGTTTCCTAATGTAGTATCATATATTTTAATTTCTCAATGTAGTAATATTGTTCAATGTTCACTGGACATTGCTTAAGTAAATGTTCATCCAATACTTAACATTGTTCAAGTAAATATCTACCGCCATTAGACATTATCCCATCATTGTATAATGTTCTAGTACTATTTGAGGAATAAAAGTTTTTACTACTATATTGGGAAAAAACATATGTTTTAATACTATTTAATTCAAATTTCACAAAGCATAATGAAAGATAACTATACTCAAAAGTCAAAACGACTTAAGCCATGTTCCCTTCACCTGATCTGTTTGGTTTTGATCTGATCCAATTTGATTGTAGTTATATTTAAAGCTATTTTTATCTGATCGATCTGATTTCGATTAGAATAAATAATTGGTAAAAAATAAGTTAAGGAGAATATAACCTTATTTGGCGTATTACAGAGCATCAAGCATAGAGTATTTTGAATAATCAACTGCCACTCCATATATACTAATTAATCATTAGAAAGAGTAATTTATCAAAATTGAACTAAAACATAATGACATTTTAAATATAGGATCATATGTTTTTATTTACCAATATAGGATCATTGGTTATTATCTATTAGTCATTATTCAACAAAATGTTCCGCATCACTTGGACATTATTATTCTTACTAGACATTATTAAGTCCTATTTAGAAAATAAAAAAGTTTAAATCCTACATTGAAAAATGACTTATGTTTTAGTCTTATTCACTATAAATTTACTAGTAAAAAATGCATATAAATGGAGTTGAGTTTTGTTCATAATTAAATTTTAAGAAATCACCATACGTATCACTCTAGGTCACTCAATATTACGCATATAGCACACTTTAATCTTTTATACAAATTTAGCTATTTATGGTGTCAATATCTTCCATGCATACCCCCTCTACCTCTTATCATATTCTACTACTCTTAATTACTTTTAATTATTTGTTTAAACTTAGGTTATTTGATCATGTATCCACTCCTCCTCATACGTGCGGCTCCTCCTCATTCGTGAGTGTCATACGTGCGAGAACACCATCTTTCATCGTTTAGCATAGCTCCGCGAGATCCTCCTCCTACGCAGTTACCAATGTATAATGCCTTAACAATTTTGTATGTATTAAATTAAGTTCCATATTTAACACTCATGTTTGGCTAGTGTTTTGGTTTAATAGATTATTCATGAAACATGACATACATTTTCGGGTAGTGTGGGATTCATAATGAAAACAATCACACACATTTTTGCAATGTGAAATTCATACATAAAAAAAGTGAAATTCATATATACAAAGAGCTATACACTTTTTGGAGAGTGTTTGAATTCATACATGAAAACTATCATTCACTTTTGCCAGTATTGAATTTATACATGAAAACATTGTCACATAAATCAATGGACATTAAACTCTAACATAAAAATAAGGATTACATAAATACATTGATATAACAACATATATCCATTGTACACTGTCACATTAAATACTCACATATAAAAACCACACTGCTCACTATACAGTTACAAGCTAAGTGAATAACCACACTGCCTAAAACTGTCATATTTTTTAGCAGTGTGTAATGAGATCATATATGTAACAATTTTTTAATAAAAAAGAAAATAAATTTGTGATCCAAGAATGTTTTTGGGAGAGAGAATATTTTTTAAGAATGCGATATAATCGATCCAAAAATGTAAGATATCTATGGTGTTATATATTCTCTACGTTCCTAAATAGATTACATATTGCGGATTACTAAGAAAATTTTTCTACTTTTTAAAATAATTTCATTTATAAATTGGTATATTAATAAGATATAAAAATTACATATTAAAAAACTACGTCAAAAGTTCTACAAAACAAGAGGTAACAAAAATATTTCATTTTATCACATAATAAATGAAATTGCGTAAACAAATAAAAGTTATCGAGAAGAGAAAAGAAAAATATTGTGATCTATTTAGGGACGAGAAGAATAGATTTTGATTAGGTCATGCAACACACATGTACGAGTCTAGTACTCCGTACTTGACAAGTGGGTGTCTATTTTTGTATTTGACTGATGTGTTATGAGTTATGACGACTTAATTGCCTGGATTATGTACAGTGACAAAAACGGATTTACTCCATTCTAAGGGGGCACCAATGCACCATCATACTGATGGGACCATGCTACACGCCTACAATTACACTTACACCAATAAATATACCCCATTTCTACATCATAGGTTTGCACAAACATTTTGATGGTTTACACCGACACAAGTGTTGGTGCGTTAATAAAAATTCAAACGGACACAAATATTGGTGCGTTTAACAAAAATTAATTTTACACCAGAAAAATGCTAGGGGTACACCATTTGGTGTACCCCATATGTCCCCCACCCCCTCCTTATCCACTAAAAAAGACAAAAAAATTTTAAAAAAATAAGTAATTGGGGTACACCTTTTGGTGTACCCCTAGCATTGCTATTTACACCAACACAAAAAATGTTGGGGTCAAACTGCAGAGTACAAATTGGGGTACAAATCTTGGGGTACACATAGCATAATCCTACTCAAAGCATTGAAATTACGGAAAACACCTTTGCTGGAATGGGTCTGGGATACCGTTGCCGGAATCCCTTTGGCGGGAACATGCACTACCTTACCCCTACCTCCGCCACTTGATATGTATCAGAGTAATCAAAGAAAGTCAAGTTTCAGAAGCAGCTTTACAGATTTAAGCTTATCACCCTTGCGATCATGGAGAGGAGCTGCTCGGATCCCCTGTCTCAATTCGGAGATTGGGATGCATGTTTGCCCTGCAAAGTCATCTTTCCCGGACGAGTCGTACTCGTGAACTTCTAAACGCAGGAGAGCCAATTCAGGGACTGTTAGTGGGAACTCAAAAATCTCATTCCATATAGGTATCCAGTTGTTCTCTACTACCTTTGTTTTCTGCATTACACAATCAGCTGGAACTCCTGCAATTCCCACCTGCATGGAGAATGTCTTATAATCATCTCAAAGGTGTGAAAGGTAACAATAAAAATTTGAAAAAGAACTTCTCAAGTTAACTACTCAGTATTACTAGTATTGTACTCCGTATTAGGTATGGAGTAACAAATATGACAGCTAAGTCAAGAAAAGTAGCTAGCAGATGGCCACTTGAAATAGAAAGGAAGAGAAAGAGAGTACCTTTGCATAGAAATCTGGAGGTGAATATGCATCGAAATGTGTATGCCGGAAGTCATGATGCCATCCTTCACCCATATATACAGTCACCTGGTTCATAATAATCGAATCATTTACACAGGCAAAGTAGAAATATCTTCATGATAATATATTGAATATACAATTGAGAACCCTGAGTCTCTCTAGTTACCTTCAACGTTGTTTTTACACGCGACGAAGCATTTTTATTAACTAATGAAGTATAAGAATGATCCGATTCCAATAATATGGCTGGTTTCTTAACATATCCACAACCACCATTGGCTCTGAACATGCCTTGCATCAACCAAAGTGATCTACCATGACCCTGAGGGAAGAAATGTTAACTGAGTGTTTTTCAAATTTCAATTCAACAAAATTACAGTCAATAGTGGATCAGAAATAAATTACAGTAAGTTATTTTGTCAAATGCCAAAGGCACATACTAGCAGTATTCAACGGCATATATCCCTCTATTTGTAATAAAGGACAAACCTAACCTACATATTAAATGCCACCATTTGAGCTCCATGGGTCCAGCCAATTAAGGGATTATAATTAGATGAGTTGATGCGTATGCCCTTTGGGTAAATTCTCAATAAATTTTGTTGAGTGAATCTGCAACAAAGAAATATGGAAAGAAAAAACACAGAACTGAGTACCTAATACGGAGTATATCATTCTTCCATGTTTGAACAGTGGGGGGGGGGGTGATTGCTTAACAGTTAGCTCAGTTACACCAATGTCTTTATCATATATTCATAATAAATTTGCCTTTTCTTGTATACTTCCGGAAACATCCTTTTAAATGTCAGTTGGCATCAGTAAAGTTTTTTCAATTCAATTAAACGTATATTGTTCTATAATTAAAGAACATGATATATACATCTGACATGACTACATAATGAGAGTTTATTGTTTGAACTTTTCGAATTCAATCTACGAATTGAGGGAGAACCAAACACATACCGAATGATTTCTTTTCCATGTGTTTTGACTGCATTTTCAAGCTGTGGCTCACTCAAGCTAAGCCGTCTCACTTTATCAGTATCAATTCTAAGCCACTCAGACAGTCCACCCTTCCCCTTTCCAGCATGAATGGCAATCAAATTCCTGAATTGTGGTGCCTCATTCTGTTCTGATTTTGGATCTTCTTCATCGTCATCTTCTACATCGTCTGTACCATCCTGGTGGAAAGATGTTAGTGTCTGTATGGTAGCCACTTATTCTGGCTAATCAGTCTTATAAGCCACTTTGCAAGCTGCATTTTGTAAATGTTAATGAAGAAAAGAAATAAGGTACATACACTTTTTTTGAATGAAGTTGATGAAGATGATGATTTTAACTTTTTCATTTTATTTTATATTTTATTGATAATTCAAACAAATTCAGCCATTTTTGTCATAACTTCAACAATGTCAGCGCACTTAGCCACTTCAACCATTTAAAGTCTAACCTAATGGGCTCTTGGTATGCTAGCTATGACAGTGGCTAGGACAATATCTGCTTAAAACACGCTCATGTGCAATAACTAGTATGAACAAAACTTTATGAACCTTGTCATTATTATATGTCGGAGTCAGATCTGATACTTCACTCCCCCAAGCTTCTGTCTCTGCAGAACTGCTTTCTTTAGTTGTCTTCTCCTTAACTTCCTTTGTTTGTTGGTACTCTTTTGGTGGTTTAGTTGATATTATAACCCGCTTTTTCAATGACTCTGGTGAAGGGAATTCCTTCAAGCATTCTGTGCCAGGAGAATACAGCATGTCTCCAAATGTTTGTTTGATCATCTGGAATGCAGCCATGACTGCACTTATTAGCCCATCCATGAACCTGGCTTTTACTTCATGGCAAAATGCATATAGATACAAACCTGTGCCACTTTGGCCTGAAGATCTGGAGTGAGATGGTCTTCGAGTGTTATTATCAAAGGATAATCAGATGCAGAGAATGCATACTCCTTAATAGACTTCAAGCATTTGCTAAGTGCCACTGGAGCGGTCAGCGTTCTACACAAGAGCATGAAACACACAAGGAAAACTATTAAATACAGGAGTACACAATAAATGGACATCCAAATTCCAAACACAAGCACAAAAAACTTCACTAATCAATGGCATACCTGCCATGAAGAACATCGACATTATCCTTTGTTGTGTTTGGCCATATATCGAGCTCAATTACTCGAACACCTCTCTGCAGGGCTTGAATAATAGGGGCATCACTGCAGTCACTGCTTAGTTGATTCCCAGTTAAATAAGAATTATGGCCAGTGTATATGAAGTAGTGGGATAATAGAGAATTCATATCGTGGTGAATCTGGAAAAATTAAACACTATCACTTAATTATACGGCGTATCAGCTAATAACTGTTGTTTCAAGGGTGCGTTCACAAAACCAGGAATAGTAATATAAATAGTGTATACCCAATGAATACAATGTAGTTGAATTAGAATGTTATAATGAAATAGAAGCTTCGTTGAAACTCAAGAAAGGACGATGGCAATAGCGACTTTTTAGTTCTGTGTATTTGGGTTGCCAAAAGAGACGAGTCACTGGAAGACTATCCTTGAAACAATATCAGTCATCTACCGCATTGGTACAACGTGATAGACTTGCTTCCAGGATCAAATGTCTAATGAGTTAAGTAGAAGTGTGGCCTACGTTAACTTCGGCAAACTGGAAAACGAAGGGGAACTAATCGAAGGGTAATTATTTTGGAGGCATGGATTGCCGAAAAACGAAGAGAGCTCAATGTATGCTTCTGCTCAAGTAAACTTCAAGACAGGAGCTTGTAAATTGAGGGGCATTCGACAGAGTTGTGGCAAAACTGATGATTCTCGGATGCGCAACTTGGTATCTTTAGCCGTAGTTAAATTTGAAATGCACATTCCGTTATTTCAAATTTGTGGTTATTTCGTATATAGAAGGAAGGCTTTCCAGGTATCATATAGAGTCCTAGAGCCCCACCAGCCCGCGCCTGTGTCCCATTTTGCACACACCGAGACGGCAGCAGCGCGCAGAGGTTCAAGTTTTATCCTCTCATAAAAGCACTTTATGATGTCATAAAGTTTTTCACCATTTTCTAAGGGAGCTTTAATGAGTGGAACTTGGAACACATTCTACCTTTTGAAACCCACTTCATTAATTTCTCAATTCACACATTAACCACTTTTGCTGAATAAAGTATCAAAACCTTTGCCCACTTAATGCATTTGCATTTCATAACGACCCATATTTAAGCTCGAAAATGATCTCCCGTAAGCCCATTTACCAACAATAAGGACATCAATTAGATAGAGTCACTTGAAAAAAAGGAAATGTGGAGTAATAAATTTATCAAATTAAGAAAACTAAGAATAAAAATTTAGAAACCCCGATCAGCAATTACACTCAAATTTCAGGGAGGAAATAGAAAGTTACCCCGATTTTAGGATTACTGAGGGAATTCGCACCGCTGGAGATATACTTGAAAAATTCGTTGAGATTGAGGCCTTTGTGACGCAGAAGCTTGAGGTAATGGAGGCTATCGGCGAGGGCCTGAGCGTCCTCCACCGTCGCGTTCTCCTCCTTCTGAACCTCGATCAGGAAGCGGTGGAGGTTAGCCACGCTCATCACCCCGTTTTCCGAGTATTGGTTGAATATGCTCCTGATCTCCGCCGGAGCCTCGGCCTCCGCTAGGTGGAACCGCCGACGGAAGCAGAAGCAGACGCTGTACGTCTGCTTTGACATTGTTAGAGGTCGCCGGAAGATTGGAGTGGCGGGAACGGGCTTAGGGATTTATTTGATCGATTGATTTGTATAAGCAATTGTCTTGCAATGGTTTGAACTTTGAGGCGTTAACATGTTGCGGGAAGTGGGGTCCAAACAAAAACCAAACAACCAGGGCAGAATATATACCAAACCCATCTAATGAGGAGTATCATTTAGCTGCCCAAATCCATTGATTGATTCTTACATTCAAAAAGTTAAATTGAGTTATATAATCTCAGTCAAAGAGGTATGACAAAAAACTAATGCTTGGCTTATGATTATTTTTTCATTGTTATCAAGATTTAAATTCAGACTAACTTTTTATGGTACTATTCTTTTGATCAGCTGAGATACGTTTCTTTGCATTTGACGGTATATGCATTTTATAACATGCATAAACAGTGATTAATTATTTGTACAATTCAAACAATTAGTGTCTGTTTATATAGGTATGATGTTTGGTATCTTTATACCTTTACGTTATTACTTCTCGTGAAGTGTATGGTGTGCTTCGTGCATGGATCTATAATCTAGGAGGGAGGCAGAAGTCTACAGAGAACATTTGAAATTGTCTAGAAAGGCCACACGCAAGTTCTCAAAGGAGAGCTTTTCAATGTGCTTGTCGTCTCTAGGTTGATCGCTACAAATTATCGTACTCACGTGCAATATGTCATTGTTTAAGCAAGACCAAGGCTTTTGTGCTAAGCCCGCCCACTAGATCATAGATTACCTTGGTGGAAATTCGTTTTGGGCCCCTTTTTCTTTTCATAGAGTTACACACGATGTATTGACTTAGGTATAACTAGACGAAATCTACACCTCCATCAATATATACAACACATTTGAATTGTTTTATAGGAGTATTTACTTAGAATTAAGTAAACATACAATAATATTTAGTTGTGGTATCAAAAGTGACATCAAGTGAAAAATGTATTGATTAATTATACTTAGTCAATTTTTACATTAATAAAAATATTAACAGAAAGTAGTCCCAGTCCCCTAAGACCAATAATTTATGGGTGAACCTAGTGTGCCAATTTGGATGTTTTTGGAAGCACAGTTTAGTTAGGTAATAAGAGAAGCAAAATTGTCCGGGCACGCCCACTATCGGTTCCTGGTCCAATTCACCGCTATTTACGTTTTTCTTGTTCGAACTTCAAATGGCTAACCAGTAACCAAATTTCCGCCAAGTCACGGCAGCGGAATGGCGGGGAACCGTAAAAATCTGGTTCCAGTGCTACTCCTATGGTTTCTCATGATGCTTGGAACCCTAGCTCTCATCCTGGTAAATTTATCACTCATTTCCTATCTAATCATTATCGCTTGAATCAATTAAAAAACATATTTATCTCGCATTCTTATTGCGGAGATCTCAAATTATTTGCTTTGGCTTTTGCATTTTCTCTGCAGAACCGATTAAATTCTGCTGCAGATCCATCCGACCAGAAAATCAACAATCACGAGGTTCGATTTGATAGAAATCATCTTCGATTTTGTTCGTCCGAGTTAGGTTTCTGTATTTCAATTTTTTGTTGAATTCAAATTGTGTTCTGCGTGTTGGTGTAGGAAAAAACTAGTGAAGATCTTGAGGGTGTTACGCACAGAGTATATTTTGACATTGAAATTGATGGAAAACATGCAGGCAAGCATTTGTTGTTAATATTCTATAAATGACAGGAAAATGTTAATGCCCTATAATCTACTGCTCTGGCTGACATAAACTTCAGTGTTTAGCTTCGGCTTTTTGAAAATGCTATCATACGGTAGCTTTTAGCGTCAGGTTTAATTAATCTACAACGCTAAAAACAATTCAAAAAGTTAATGCTAATCACAAACGTTGTTTCCAAAGCAAAGCTTATGCCTTCTTTGTCCTGGGCCCTGGCTTCTCACATGCCCTCCTTTGGGAGATATTTATACTTGGATTTCTGGTAGAGATATGTCCCATAATCGCGTCCACCGCCATTTCAGGTCGTGTCGTCATGGGGCTCTTTGGAAATGTCGTTCCAAAAACTGTAGGTATTGTAGCACACCCTTCTAAATCATCCATCTTATCAACTAGAAATTGAAATATGAAACTGAGGTGATGTTTATGTGTGTCCACTCTGCAGAAAATTTCCGAGCTCTATGCACAGGTTAGTGACAACCTAGTACGAGTAGTAATTTTTTGCTCCCTTTTCAAATCGCCTATTTTTTGATATTTTGATCTTTCCTAATTTGATATTTTCAAATCAACAAGGTAGTAATTTTTTAATCTTTCCTAATTGGATATTTTGAGCCAATTTACTCTTTTGAGTGGATGCTGAATACAATTGCAGCGACAGTGTGGTTTTCTGCTATTGCAGGAGAAAAAGGAAAGGGAAAGAGTGGGAAACGTCTCCATTACAAGGGGACTGCTTTTCATCGGATCATACCTAGCTTCATGATCCAGGGAGGGGACTTCACTCATGGGGATGGGACAGGAGGCGAATCAATATTTGGGAGCAGCTTCGCAGATGAGAACTTCAAACTAAAGCACACTGGTTCTGGTAAATATTTCAAAACCAAACATTACCATTGTAGAGGCTTATCCTGTTCCACTTAATACATAAGCCCCGGTTGTAAAGGGGAATTTAGCTGAAAATAGTGAATCTGCTGGATTTCTTAAATGAAAAATGCTTGGCTACATCTATTTCAACTAAATTACCAAGTCAAAAACTACTCATTCTGATGATAAACAGGATAAGCTTAATTGTAATTGTTATGTGCATTGTTGGGTGAAGTCTAGGGGAATGTCAACACAATTTTTACACTTCCTTAAAAATCACTTCCGTCAAACCGGAAAGATAGTTTTAGGACGGAGGGAGTATTTTTTAGCAAATACTAATTTGGTTGACTGCATAGCACACTCTGAATTGGTTATTAATGAACATAGTAGGATTTAAGATACTTGTTTGGTTTATGTTTAAAAAAATCTTTTTGGTTGAAAAGGGATTGAAGATGATCATTCAGCCTTTTTCCCCATATATTTGCTCTTTGTTTTGTATCACTAGAATATGTGCAAAGTATTTTCTTTTTCATAAGTCAACAATTTCAGCTACTTCGTTAATAACAACCACCTTTTCAACAATTTCAACTGAACTCATGCGCTCTCAATCTTTCTTGTTTGGTGCAGGAGTTCTGTCAATGGCAAATGCTGGGCCAGATACCAATGGGTCACAATTTTTCATCACCACAGTGACAACTAGCTGGTAGAATAGTTAATACTTAATACTCCGTACTTCTCTTGCACCTTAGAAATGCTTTTAAATTTACATTTGTTTTTTTCTTGCCAGATTTTCCCTTATTATATTGCATGTCCACATAGATCTGTTTGCTGCCTTTGGATGAATTATTTTCCTTTTTGGTTTTGTATAGGGTGTGAGAAAGGGTAGAGGTACACCTAAAAAGAGTTGGAATAAGGTGATTAGGCACGAGTTACGACTTCACGATCTTACCGAGTATGACCTTAGATAGAACGCCTGAAGATCAAGGATTATAATAGTAGAGTAGATTCGTGGGCCTTAAGTTGCAGTTGATGCTGGTGTGTTTTTATGCATTAGTATGTAGCCTGTGCAGTTGTGCTACACTTATTTCTTTTTTGTGCTTGTGTATTTGAGTTGAGAGTCCCTTGATACGAGTATATGTCTACGTTCTAGTAGCGATAAGGTCTGCATACACACACTTACTTTTTCACATACTTTATGTGCGATTTTTCTTGGTTTGCTATTGTTGTTGGTTTGGATAGGTTGGACAGGCGACACGTTGTGTTTGGCAAAGTCCTTTCGGGGATGGACATCGTCCACAAGATTGAGGGTGAAGGAAGGCAAAGTGGAACACCCAAGAGCAAGGTGATCATATCCGATTGCGGTGAGCTAACATTGTGACCAGGTAGGTACACTGCAAGCACCTTGTAGAGAAACTTATATACATCTCCTTTAAAATTTAAGTTCATATGTGCACAACAAATGAGCAGTAGTCCACATTGGTCATTCTCCTTTGAGTAAGTGGGAACAGCAGAAGAAGTTATGCTTCATTTTTTCTCGCTTATATGGTGGATTTATTCAACAAAACAATCCACTTTAAGAAACTGGGAACTGCAATTAACATACAGCTTTTACGAGTAATAGAAGATAATTTAGGTTCTGTCTTGGTTCTTACTTGGGGGATGTTTGTAACTGTTGCAGGAGGTATTTGCCTCCAAGTTCTTTAGGGTATATTTTCAAAAACTTAAGAAACAAGTCTTTTAAATAACATTTTTCCAAATTCTTAACATTAAGATTGAAGCTTAGGAGTAGTTTGTTGAATTGGTGTTTCGGACCACTTCTTCAAGGGCTCAATGCCCACATCGCAAGTGAATTTTATGTTTATAGATGTGTTGTCTCTGAATATCAAAACCAGATTATTTAGAACAAAAAGACTAGGAACAAAATTAGTCGATCATTGATTTTGTATTTGTCTTTTTTTATTTTGTCTCTCTAAAAAGAGGCGCAATACATACCCACAGCTCCTTTTGGCCAGATAAATCTAGTGGTTGGTTCGAATTCCTATTTTAAAAAAAAGGATTATGAATTTTAAATTTGAGAGCTTTTAAGTCGCTCTCTCTGGTGAGCTTCTTCCTTAGCTTAAGTGATAGGATGACTCTCTTGCCCCACTTGGCTCAATGTGTTATCATTCCAACTCGGTAATTAGGGGAGGGAACCTAATTGAGGTCGGGTGGATAAAGGTAAGAACCGTCAATTTTTTTACGATGACGGGTGTCATAATATGACATTTGATGTCATAATTTACCCTCAGGATGCCATGTCAAAAGAACCAATGCATATATTCTTATTTCCCCTTGTTTCCATGACATTCGGAACCAATGTCATGGGATGATCCGGGGCGCTCCGGTGCCCCGTTTGTAAAATTGACGGTAAACCTCCCCACCCCGCCCCGCCCCAAACACACCCCCCCACCCCCTTCAATTGTACCCCACAAGTTGATTTTGACTTTAGAGTCAAAATTTGACTTCAAAGTCAAAATCAACTTGTGGGGTGCAATTGAAGGGGGTGGGGGTGTGTTCGGGTCGGGGCGGGGTGAGGGGTTTATCGAGGGGGTTAGAGGGGTAGGAACCGTCAATTTTACGAACGGGGCACCGGAGCGCCCCCGGGTCATCCCATGACATTGATTCCCAATGTCATGGGAACCTTGCCCTATTTATTTATGTATTTCTCCCTCCAAATTCTGTAGAGTTTAACTACTTCATACTTCATAGCTGGGCCAATATTAGGAAGGTTTACATCACAATATAAGACTAAAATCCCCAAGTCTTTTTAGGAAGGTACGTGTTTGACTACATTCATTTTGTCCAATTTTTTAAAAATTGAATACCCATTTAATATAAGTATTTATAGACTTTGCAAAAATTGACCGGATTTGTTTTTTTTATCTAAGGTCCAACTCGAAAATAATACGTCTTAGACAAAGGTTTTCAATTTTTAAAATGGGTTAAATCCGACCGCACTTAGACCAAACATGATCGACCACCAAGACTTTACAGGTTTTAAACGGGGTGAAACTACTTACCATATACTCAACTCTTTTTTTTAATTAAATAATGACTACATGTTAACTATATTTTTTATAGAATTAAACCCGCTAATAACCAATTGTCTTATTTAAAAAATACTCTCTCCGTTTCTCAATATTTGTTTACTTTCGACTTTTTTTTGTCAAAATTGGTAAATTTTGACCTCAAATTAAATTTAAATGATATTAGATATTGATACAAAAATAGTTTTATTAGATTTATTATATCAAATATTTTTAAAATATTAAATTATCTAATTAATATACAATATATATTTTATTTAATTATATGTGAAATATTGAAACGGTTGACTAAAAAAAAGTTAAAACTAGACTAATGCTCGGGGATGAAAGAAGTACTTCGTGAAAGAGATTAAGAGGGGTGTATTAAATTGGGAGCCTGGATGATTTTTTTAGGCTTCTAAAATCTGGAAGTATTCGATCACGATTTTAAAAAGTATAAAAATCCTAAGGTATTTAATAAGGAATTTTAAAAGTCTTAAAAAATCTTGAGGTATTCAATAATAATTTTCCAAAGTCTAAAAATTTTGAGGTATTTAATATTATATGGATTTTAATACTCAATTGATTTTGTTGGATTCTATCTAAAATTTATACTTATGTTTCACTCATCAAAATCTCTGCTCCCAACTAGAGATTTCTACAGATTTCAGAGTTACTCATTAAACTATTTATGGGAACCCATAGAACATATCCCTTGTATGCCGTCATCTTCTTTTGAGTTTTCTCAGAATGGGAAGTCACCGACAACCTGCTCAGTAGAGGGAGCCAGCATCCGGATCAAGAAATTGATTGAACCGGGAAATCAAATACGGCTTAAAAAGAAAGAAATGAACTTGGAAATGGAAATCCACATAAAAATCAATAAAACAAATCCAATCAAGCCTATGAAAATCCACATAAATCAATAAAATAGTCGTCCTAACTTTGTATGAAGTATATGGATTTTTAAAATTCACTTACTTTTTAAAGTCTATGAAATTCTAATAAAATCTTAACTGAATACACTCTTCTAAAAGCGAGTGTTTGGATACTGTTACGTAGTAGTGTTTCTGGGCTGAAAAACTATTGTATTCTCTCTTGGTTATTTACAATACAATGGGAAGTATATATATACAGCAAGGTATTCCTAATAGGATTAGGAATTCTAAATAAAAGGAAGCTACCATATACAAGTCTAATACAAATCAAAGACTAATATTCTAATATTCCTTTTCCTTTTCTAACACCCCCCCTCAAGTTGGAGCATGTAGCAATGAAATGCCCAACTTGGGAATCAAGAATTCATGCTGTGCTTTGCCCAGTGCCTTTGTATGCATATCAGCTAGCTGATGTGTAGTGGAAACATGATCTGTCTTGATGACTCCTCGCAGTAGTTCGTCTCGAACAAAATGGCAATCGACTTCGATGTGCTTCGTACGTTCATGGAAAACAGGATTGGCTGCGATATGTAATGCTGCAGTACTGTCACACTTTATGGTCATAGGCTTCGAATGTTCAATCCCAAGAGAACCAAGTAGACTCTTGAGCCACTTTAACTCACAAGTGACCGCGGCTAGAGCTCTGTACTCAGCTTCTGCAGACGATCGGGCCACAGTCGTTTGTTTCTTTGTTTTCCAGGAGACAGGAGATTTGCCAAGTTGGACAAACCAACCAGTGAGGGATCTCCTTGTCAACGGACAGGCGGCCCAGTCTGAATCACACCATCCCGTTAGCTGCAAGGTATTGCTGGCTGATAAGAAGATCCCTTGACCAGGTTGCCCCTTCAAGTATCGAACCACACCCATTGC